CGGGGCGGCCGGGGGTCGGAGGGGCCGGAGCTCCGGAGCCGGGCCACTGCCGCTTCCGCCCCTGAGCGCTCCGGCCCGCCTGGATAACGAGCTGCCCGCCTCCTCCCGCAGACTCCCGAGCGGCGCCCTCCTCCCGCCGGTGCCAGAGCCGGGCCATGGGGGGCAGCATGCCCGCGCGCGCCGCCTGAAGACGCCGTAACTCCCGCCCCCGCGATGGGCGCCCCTGCTTGCGCCCTCGCGCTCTGCGTGGCTGTGGCGGTCGTGACCGGCGCCACTTCGGGACCCCCGGGCACGGAGCAGCGCGTCGTGCGGAGAGCGGCAGGTAAGGAAGGACTCGACGGGTGCAGGGAGGGGCCTGGGGCCCCACAGGCAGAGGCGTCTGGGCCCGAGAACGGGCGCCTGGGTGGGTGGGGGGCGCCGGATCTGAGTGGGCCCGAGGGCACGCCCTGGGCTGGCACCACGGGACCAGTGTCTGGGTTTCTACCACCCTCCCTCCCCGGGGATCGCGGCCAGAGCTGGCGCGGCAGTTTGTGGGGCGCCTGGAGCCGCAGGGCTACCACCCAAGTTCGAGGCTGCGGCGGGGAGCTGGGCACCGCGGTGGCGTCTGCAGCCCCCGCCCCCGCGGTTCCCCAGTGGGGCGCAGCATGTCCCTAGGCGCCGTCGGGAGGGCGCGGGGCTGCGTCTCCACGATTCCCATTGTTGCTCGGCGGGTTCTGCACTGACGGAAAGTTCCTATTGTTGGTGCCTTTCCCTCGAACCCCTTTCGAGCCCCAGTTCATGGCCAGCTTCGGCCAAAGCCTGAGGCCGGACTTTGGAGGGAGGGTATGAGAGGGCGTCAGCGCACGGCCTGGTCCCTGCCCCCAGTGGCCTGCATGACGAGGTGACACCTTCCAGTGCCTCCGTTTCCCCACCTTGCTCTCCTGCCCTGTGGATGAAGGTGTCTGCTGCCTGGGGGTGCGCATCGAACGCCAGGCGGGGCGCCCGGAGGTGAGAGGGCGGATGTCCGAGAGACGTGGAGCCGCAGACCCCAGCTCGCGGTCAAGGTCCGGCGGGACGTTGAGGGTCTGTGAGGAGGGCCGGCGGGGCGAGGGCAGGGGAGGGGCGGGAGCGTGTCTTTGCTCCGGGCCCCGCCCCGCACACGCGCCGCGGTCCTCGAGGTGCGGCCGCACGCGGCCCCCCGCCGGCCCGGCCGAGCGCTCCGGTGCCTCCTCTCACACGCGCGGCTAGGCTCCCGGCGGCCGGGCAGAGGGGCGTCCTGGCCCCTGGGCACAGCCAGCCGCGGGGCGCTGGGAGGACCGGCGCTGGCGAGGGTGCTGCGCGCACCCCTTTGCCGGGCCGGCGGCCGCGTGGAGGGAGGCCTTCGCCTGGTGAGCGCACGCCCCACCCCGGCGAGACCCGAACAGCCGCTCCTTTGTACCTCGGCGCGGCCACAGACCGAGCATTGATGGCGGCCGCCGCGGCAGCCTCACGGGGAGGTGTGAGTGGAGAGGCTGTGGGCGCGCAGTGCCAGGGAGGCGGTGGCCTCGGGCAGGACGCAGGCAGATGGCGGCCCGCCCCTCCCCGCGCCCCCGCGCCCCTTTCTCCGGCGGCGGCTGCAGCCTCCGAAACAATGTCATTTTTTTATGAATGAACGTGGGCCCGGCGCTTGAATGTGCGTGTCATTCAGCGGCGTGACAGGGGCCGTCGGGAGGTCAGCGCGCGCTTTTACCGCCTGCTCGGGCGGCCCCCGCTTCCAGGGGCGCAGAATAGGCTGCCGCGGGGGGAGCCCCGCATTAGCATTCGCATTCAGATGAAGATATTACTCCCTACCGTCCAGGAATGTCAACTAGCCCCGGGGGAGGGGGCAGTGGGCGGGGCTCCAGACCCTCTCCTGGACCCCCTGTGGCTCACGGAGGGGGCAGTGGTCCCCTCCATCCCCCCTCTGGGCACTGACAGAGCCTGCGAATCCGGGTCCTGGGGCGCAAAGCCTGTGGTGCCCCACCAGATGCGGGCCTGGGGCAGAGCCGTTAGAGGACCCCCCAGGGGCGCAGGTAGGGGGCACAGGGCCTTCTCCCTCCGCCAGAACTCGCCCCCCCAGCCGCCTTTGCAGTAGAGCTGGCAAAACAGGTAGTGAGTTGATAGGTCAATAAACTTAATCCGGTTCCTTAAGGAGACAGGCCAGGCAGTAAAAATACAAAGACGTCATGAAACTTACAGAGGTCTCGGCTGGCACTTTCCCGGGAAACATAAATTATGGAGCTGGAGCTGGCTGGGGTCAAGGACCGCAGGGAAGGTGTCCGCCACTGCACTGCGTTGGCCATCCCAGGCCCTACCAGGGCAGCCTCCATCTCCACAGGGGGCCATGTTCTTGGGCAGGGGCCCCCACCACCAGGAAGGTTGATGAGCGGCGGCTCCCTCTGTGGTCTGACCCCACCCAGCCAGGAGGGGTCTCTGGGGGGTGCAGGGCATTTCCTGGGAAGGCGCTGGCTGCAACCTCCCCCACCCCCTCCTCATCTGGGCTGGACTTTGAGCCCGACGGGCCTCTGGGTGGTTCATTAACCTGGGCTGAGCCCGAGGCTGGACTTCTGGCCTCTGAGCCCCTGCACTGAGCCAGCCCGTGCCCCCACCCTCAGGACCTCAGGTCCCACTTGGGGCCCAGTCTGGGCCTGGTGCACCCTACTTTACAGTTGAACATAGAGAGGAACAAGAGTCTCCTTGAGGAGGTGGGACCAGAGTCGGCCCAGGCACGGGTTTGTGGGGTCAGCCAGGCAAGCCTGAGTGATTTACAGGTGAATGAGCTGTGAGTGGAGGGGAAGGGCCCTGGGTGCCCTCCTCAAGCCTCAGTTTCCTCACCTGTCTGAGAGGACGGATAATGGACCGGTTGTTGGGTGGATTAGGCTGGGTAATCCTGGAAGCCCTCCTTAGCCGGCCCAGCCTCCAGATCCCCCTTTTTTATCTAACTTTGTTATGAAACTTTACAGAATGTTTCCAGGTAGGGGGGCGAGTAGGCCCGACCTTCATCCCATGACTTTGGGGTGACCCTCCTGTCTAGGACTATTTTTAGAACATGGACCTGGCGGCAGGGCCCCTGGTCGGGAGAGTAGCGGAGAACCAGGGGCTTTGTTCCTCGTGCCACATGAACACCTGGATCCCTCAGGGTGGCTAGCTCCAGTGGGTTCCTTTGAGCCAGGTCTGAACTGATGCTTGTTCTCTGGGGTCGCCCCCAAGGCCCTTCTGGTGGAGTATTGCCCGACCCCTGTGCACTCCCCTTGTGCTGGGGGAGCCTTAACTATAGGGACCTCAAACAGGGAGCACGTTTCCCCTAGTGGGGACGCAGCCCTCCTGAGCAGGCTGGCCCTGCCTGTGGCCTGATGGACATTAGGCCCCGGGGCAGTAGACCTAGGGCAAGGAGTGTCTTGCACCCCCTACTTCTAGTGTTTTTTTTTTTTTTTTTGTGAGGAAGATCAGCCCTGAGCTAACATCCGTGCTAATCCTCCTCTTTTTGCTGAGGAAGACCGGCCCTGAGCTAACATCTGTTGCCAATCCTCCTCCTTTTTTTCCCCTTTTCTCCCCAAAGCCCCAGTAGATAGTTGTATGTCATAGTTGCACATCCTTCTAGTTACTGTATGTGGGATGCTGCCTCAGCATGGCCGGAGAAGCAGTGCGTCGGTGCACGCCCGGGATCCGAACCCGGGCCGCCAGTAGCGGAGTGTGCGCACTTAACTGCTAAGCCTCGGGGCCGGCCCAACACACTCCAGTACTTTAACCGCTTGTGGTCTCCCTGGCCTGCCTGGTGGGATTTTTACCATGTGCCACAGTGGAGGGAACTGGGGCACAGGCCAGTGGGTGGAGGGTCGGGAGGATTCTGTGACTGGGAGACATGCCCACAGGCCCAGCTCTGCTCCTCCAGGACGTAGCACCCTTTGGGCTTTGCCAACTGGCTGCTCTTGGCATGTGGCCCCCTGGTCGAACTCAGCTCCCTGTGGGGTGGGGGCACAGGCAGAGGCAGGCATTCTGCGTGTGCCCACCCCCCATGCACGTGGGCACACACCATGGCACACTCGATGTGTGTGGGCCCCGTGCCTGTGTGGGTGCGCCTCCCTTTTGTTGATCAAGAAAGACCCCTTCCGGGGCCACTTTGGGGGCAGGGGCCAAAGGGCCCACAGCATATGCCCCCGCTGCTTCCCAGGTAGAGCCAGACCCTGGCCTCTTAGTGCCCCCTGCGCCTGTCACCGTGGGCCCTGACCATCGTGGGACGTGCCCTTGCCTGACACCACCCACTCAGCCACTGCTGTGTTCCCCCACGTCCCCCCTAGCTCAGGGTGGGCCTGGTGGATCGGATCTGTAGGAGACTCTGCTGCTGATCTCTTCCCTGGTGTGGGGGTCCCTGGCCTTCGTGGGCAGCTAGTGGGGAGGGTGGTGGGCAGGTCAGGGATCGGGCCCTACCCTCAACCACCCCTGGTAGAGGGCTGGCCTGGAGGCCACTCTGTGTCCGCCGGTCCCTTGCTAGCCTAGGTTGAAGTGAACACTTGTGCGGATGGCTTGACCTGCCGCCACTGCCCAGACCAAACCGGAGCCAACCACTGTTGCCCTTGGGCTGGGGCCTGGGGCTGAGGCTGCCACGAACAGCCTGTTCTTGGCCTTCTGGGGGGCCTCAGTCGGCTTGCAGCAGTGGGTGGTCCCCACAGGACACAGTGGCCAAAACTGGTGGGTTGGAGGTCAGGCTAGGAGCCCGTGGGGACGCAGGCTCCATGGACACTTTGGGGACCCTTCTAGTGGGCATGGGGCTTGTGGGGCCACCTGAGGTAGGTGGGCAGAATTAGGCCTGTCCAGGGGGCCAGGGGCTGGTGTGCCAGAGTGGGCAGCTGGGCCCTCGAATCTAGGCCGTGCATCGGCAGAATGACAAGTAATGGTGCCACCGACCCAGCTGGGTCTAGGGAAGGCAGCATGCGCTGCAGGACCGCCCAGCCCTGTCTCGGGCCCCAGGCCCAGGCTGCCCGCCTGCTCCAGGCATTGTCTGACCCTGGCAGGAAGGCCTGGGGGTGGTGGTCAGCCCCGCCAGTGGTGTGTCCTTGGGTCTCAGGCCATGTTGGCCCCTTGGGATCTGGGCAGCCACTGGGCAGGGGGAGGGCCCTGGGGGGCCACTGGTGGACATCACCCTTGGCAAGCACCCTCCACCTCAGCCCCTCAGCACCTGCAGGGGAGGGTGGCTTGGGGCTCCTCAGCCTGGCTCTAAGGGCTCCCACTTTGGCCCGCTCACCGGCCGAGTCTGGACGTCTTCCTCCCCCAGCCTGTGTCCTCATCTGTAAAATGGGGGTCCCAGGCCCCCTTACCCCACAGGCCTGTGAGACCCCACTGGCTAGACTTGGTATTCTATTTGTATTTCTGATCTTGTTCTTAGTGTGTGTTTTCTCTAATTTACTGCTGAGATGTAGTTCACATACAGGATGCTCTCTTCTGAGTCAAGAAACAGGGTGTTCCATGCCCCCAAGAGCCCTCACCTCGGGCTGGCCTGGCCTGCGTCGGCTTTGGGGAATCAGCCTGCAGCGAGTGCTATTCTGGGAGCTTCGGCCAGTGCTGCCTGACCACGGCGGCTTCCTTCTTGTGCTGGAGAATGTGTGTTCTCTGCTCCTGAACTGCTTTTGAAGCCAAGATGAGGGATGAAGGGTGCGCCAAGTGGGACCCCCTCCTGGGGGAAATCAGCCCGCTGCTGAGGGTCTGCTGTGGCAGGAGGCGTGCAGAATACTGCCCCCCCCCCCATGAGCTCAGAGTGGATTTTGCATTTCTAAATGGTGGGAAAAAAATCAGAGGAAGAATAATACTTTGACACTCTGAAATTTGAATTTTCAGTGTCTGTAAATAAAGTTTTGTTGGAGTGCACCCACACCCCTTTATTTCCATCTTATCTATGGAGGCGCCACAGCGGCAGAGCTGTTCTGGGGACAGAGACCGGTTGGCAAGACTGCGGGACAGTTTGCAGGTCCGCAGGCTCTGCAGGCAGCTCTTTCCCTTGCTCAGGGCCACCTCGGCCTCTGCCCAGCCCTCTGGGCCCCCGATGCCCCCTGCTGCAGCCTCTGCTGGCGTGTCTGTAGAGTAGGGGTGCCGTGGTGCCTCCCGGGGGGTCTTAAGTGCCCGGTATTCTTGGTTTGGGGGTAGTTGCCTCACGGTCACTCATCTTGCCCACAGAGGTCTCAGGACCTGAATCTGGCCAGCAGAAGCAGCTGGTCTTTGGCAGTGGGGACACTGTGGAGCTGAGCTGCCACTTGCCTGCGGGTGGTCCCACGGGACCCACTGTCTGGGTCAAGGACGGTGCAGGGCTGGTGCCCTCAGACCGCATCCTGGTGGGGCCTCAGCGGCTGCAGGTGCTGAATGCCTCCCACGAGGACGCTGGGGCCTACAGCTGCCAGCAGCGCCTCACCCAGCGTGTCCTGTGCCACTTCAGCGTGCGTGTGACAGGTGAGTGCCTGCCGGGGCCCACGAAGCTCCCCAAGTGGCCGACGGGGTCTTGGGGCAGTAAGGCTGCAGCACATGGCCCCGAGGGTCTTGGTGGTCATTGGTTGAGAGGAGGGCACTCCCCCGGAGGCACTCGCTGAGTGAGGGGGCTCCAGCCCCACCTATGAGGGGCACGTGGGACCCTCTGGGCAGGCTTGAGACAGACCCAGGAGGAAAGGACGCTGCCTTGCAGTTGAGAAGTGCAGGCACCTGGAAGTGGGCATCAGCTCTGCCTGTCACGGGGCCAACTCCTACACACTCCCTCTTGCCTGCACTGCAGATGCTCCATCCTCGGGAGATGACGAAGATGGAGAGGACGAGGCTGAAGACACAGGTGAGATCGGGTTCTAGGCACACAGGGCTGGCTGGGGTTGGGACCTGTCTTCCCAGCCAATGGGCCTGCTCTGCTTCCTACCTTTGCACCAAGCCCCACCCTCCCCAGGTATGGGGCCTTCTACCTGCTCATAGGGCAGGTGAGAGACTGAGGCCTGGGGATCACCTCCCCAGGTCACACCGAGTGTGGGGTCCCCTTACTGTGAGGTGGGGGTGGATACTTGGCCCTGAGGTCTGAGTGGCAAGCTGGCGGGGGAGGGGCCCCTATGCTGCAGATGAGGAGGAGACTGAAGGGTGGGGCTCCCGCATGGCGAGGAGGCCAGTGTGTCCAGGGCTGGAGAAGGGAGGCCTGTGGGTGAGGTGGTCTTCCCAGGTGTGGGTACACCAGAGCAGGGGGCTCAGGTGGCTGCTGTGGGGCCAGTGGACTGAGGGATTAGGGGCAGTGAGAGGCAACTGAGGCAGTCCAGGTAGGAGAGGAGGGTGGCCGTGGGCCCTCAGGGACACCAGGTTTGGGCATATTTACCACAAAGGGGGTGCTGGCAGCGTTTCCCGGTGACAGGCTGTGGGTGTGAGACAGCAGCCAAGAGGACAGCACCCAGGTCTTTTGGCCTGGAAGGCTGGCAGGTGGACTTTGCCCAGCTGTGGAGGTGGAGGGGCCGGTTAGGGAAGATGGGCCTCTAGTTTTGGAGGAGCTGAGTTTGAGATGCCAAGATATGTGGGACGGAGCCCGGGGGCCCTGTGGGGTCTAGTGGGCAAGGAGGTGAGCGATCAGCCAGGAGGGAAGCTGAGAGAGGAGGGGTCGGGGAGAGGAGGTCCCTGGGAGAGGAGGGGTCCCGGGATGGGGGGGGGTTGGGGAGGGGGGATTCCTGGGAGAGGAGGGGTCCGGGGAGAGGTGCTAAGGGCTCGTGTGAGTGTTCCACCTCTGGGATGGGCTCTAGGACCCACCGAGACAGGAAAGGCTCCCACCTGAGGAGCTGCTAGGTTTCTCCCCTTTTCCCTTTGCCCTTTGGCTGCCAGGAAGTTTAGAGCCAAACTCCCGCCCCGTTGCCCCTGCCTGCCGCCCTTTTCACGACCAGCTGCCCCTGGTGCTGGCCACCTTGCCGGTGTTTGGTGTTTCTTCCTGTGTGGGCTCAGGGACACTGAGGGTCCTGGCAGGACAGCCTTCCAGAAGGCTCCGTCTGCGTGCTGAGTCATCGCAGTCGCCTAGTCCCAGGGTACAGCCCCTGCCACAACCTGCCGGTCTCTCAGGGTCATCTTGGGGTCTCTGCCCCCCAGCATCCAGAGCTCTAGGAGGTGCCTCTTCCCAGCGTCTGTCCACACTGCTCCCCACCTGGGCCTCCGCGCCCTCATGTGACATGGCTGCTGGACGGTAGTGAGCTACCTCCCTCCCTGTCCTGGGCCTCTCCTGCCTCCCTCCTGCCTCCCCACTGCCTGTTAGGCCTTGGAGCACCGCAGAGGATGGCTCAGGGTCCCATAGATCTAGTGGGTGCCTGGCCACCTCCAATGCCCCTGGTTCTGTAGGTGGCTGGGCCTTGCCTCTTGGTTAACTTCTCGTCCATCCAACTGGGCTTCGTGACCTGAGCTGACCCAGTCCCTCTGCCAGCTGGGTCTCCCCCTTGGTGGGACTGCCCCAAGTGTGCCTCCCTGGGTGGGTGGGTGGGTGCTCCCCTAAGAGACATCCTTGTGTCCTGAAGGCTCCTGGGCCAGGGTGTGGTGCCCTGGACCCTCTTGGCTGGAGTGGGTTGGGGGGAAGCAGACAGGGAGGGGAATGGACATGTGGCCTGGCTTTGCGAGTACGAGGAGGTGGTGTCGAGGCTACTGGGAGCCTCCTCCAGCCCAGGCAGAGGTCCTTGAAAGGCCAATACTCCCTACCCAGGAGGGGAAACAGAGGCTGGCAGGGTGGGCAGTGGGGCAGCTTTTGAGGTGGAGTCAGGCAGGCCTCTGCTGCCCACCCTGGTTATGGCCTTCACATGCCTCTCCTCCAACAGGGGCCCCTTACTGGACGCGGCCCGAGCGGATGGACAAGAAGCTGCTGGCTGTGCCAGCTGCCAACACTGTTCGCTTCCGCTGCCCGGCTGCTGGAAACCCCACTCCGTCCATCTCCTGGCTGAAGAATGGCAAGGAGTTCCGAGGCGAGCATCGCATCGGGGGCATCAAGGTGGGCCTGGCGGTGGGTGGTGCCGGGGCCTCTAGGTGCTGGCTGGCGGAGGCTGCAGCCGGTTGCCCGCTTACCGAGTGTTTACCTGCAGCTGCGGCACCAGCAGTGGAGCCTGGTCATGGAGAGTGTGGTGCCCTCGGACCGGGGCAACTACACGTGTGTCGTGGAGAACAAGTTTGGCAGCATCCAGCAGACGTACACTCTGGACGTGCTGGGTGAGGCTGGGAGCTGGCGGGCGTGGGCGGGTGTGAGCCAGGGCAGCCCCTAAGCCCCCGTCTGCCCCACAGAGCGGTCTCCACACCGGCCCATCCTGCAGGCGGGGCTGCCAGCCAACCAGACGGCGGTGCTGGGCAGTGACGTGGAGTTCCACTGCAAGGTATACAGCGACGCGCAGCCCCACATCCAGTGGCTGAAGCACGTGGAAGTGAACGGCAGCAAAGTGGGGCCCGATGGCACGCCCTACGTCACCGTGCTCAAGGTGGGCACCGCTGCCGGCTGGGCACTCGTGAGCCGTCGGGCCTGGCCCTGCTCGGCCCCCTTGGCCGGGAACTGGGAGGGTGCCCCAGGTGGGGAGGCCCGTCAGGTTAAAGGGATGGTGGTCGGGGTGCAGGCGGTGGACCTTCGGGGAAGAAGCTGGTTGGGAGGTGTGGGGGCCTCGGGCTTGCCCTGCACAGGGGGCGGGGTTGGCTTGGCAGGCGGGGCGACATCCCAGCACCGCGGGCCCTGCTTTGGGCCACAGATGGGACATGGCCCTGCAGTGATCCCTCAGTCTCCCTGTCTGCTCTCAGGGTCAGCCTCAGCCCTGGAGGCGGGCCTGCAGATGGCCCCAGTGGTAGGCTCCAGCTCAAGGGCCCAGGGCAGGCAGGTGGCAGCTGAGCCCTCCCAGCACCCACTGTGCCTAGGAGGCTGGGCAGCTGCTCCTGGGGCTGGCCCCCTGTGGGCGTTGTCAGCGTGTGCAGAGGTGGCTCGCCACCCCGCCTGCTTCCCTCCCTCGGCCCTCGGGGCAGGACAGCCTCAGCTTTGTTCCCACGGCCCCGGGGGTGGGGGCCGCCCGAGTTGGGGTGGTTGCAACACTCGCAGCCCAAAGAGAAACATCTGTTTAGAGACAAGATGGGCTGACGGGGGCGGGGAGCAGGCACTCAGCCGGGGAGTGGGAGTCCAGACCCGACTGGGAGAGGCCGCGGTGGCCCGTGGGGTGGTATCTCTGCACCCTTGTGAGCATGTGTGTTCTCAGCCCAGCAGCGTGGCAGCAGGCCCGCCGGGGTCCCAGAGTGGGCAGGCCAAGCACCAGCCAGGGAGGGCCTCTCTGAGGGGTGCCTGCCAGGGCCACACTCTGGGCTGTGGGGGGTGGACACGGAGAAGGCGTAGCCTGTGAAACCACAGCCCACTGCCGTGGCATGCCTCTCCACCTCCTCCAAGCAGCCTTCCTGGCTGGCACGACCTGGCTCCCCATCTGTTCCTCGGGGGTCTCCCACTTCTTGCCTCGGAGCCTCGGGATTGGGGGCTGCCCTCGTGGCGAGGTCCGGACCGGGCCCGCTCCTGCACGCCGCTCCGTGTCTGGCCGAGCTGCCGTGGGCGCGCCTGAGCTGGGTCTCTTGTCCCCGCAGTCCTGGATCAGTGCGAGTGTGGAGGCCGACGCGCGCCTCCGCCTGGCCAATGTGTCCGAGCGCGACGGGGGCGAGTACCTCTGTCGAGCCTCCAATTTCATAGGCGTGGCTGAGAAGGCCTTTTGGCTGCGTGTTCACGGGCCCCAAGCAGGTAACAACTCTGTCCCACGCCCGCCTGGCACGCCGAGCTCCAGCTCCGACGCCCTGGCCATGTGCCCGCCTGCACGCCCCTGTCCTGCTCGCTCCCTACCCCATGGCTCACGCTGTGGACGTGGCCGCCTCTGCAACGCTGGCGCCTCTGGCCTCCACTGAGACTGCTCGCTTCAAGCCCCCGCAGCCACGCTGACCCTGCCTGCGCTCCCCGTGTGCACCCCCAGAAGACCCTCAGCCCCAGCAGGGGCCATGCCCCCTCTGTTTGTGAACATCTGCCTTCGCTTTTTCTGGCCCCAGCTCCGCTGCCTGCTCACTTCTCATCAGTCTGTCTGTCCGTCTGCCCACCTGCCTGCACCCCCTCCCCAGTGTTCACACTAATCCTGCATGGTGCGTTTGCGCGGCACGCTGCTGGCCGCTCGCCTGGCACTCACCTGGGACAGAGGACTCGCCGGTGGAGGGACTGGCTTCGGGCTCGGTGTGGACGCACGAGGCAGAGGACCCTCGGCGCCGTGGCGGTGGTGGCGCCGTTTTCCTTGCAGCCTGGCTGGATCGTCGCCGTGTGGACTCTGGCTGTGGTGCCCGTGGGAGGTGCTGGCGCTCGCCTATCGCGCTCTGTTCTCTCTTTGTAGACGGCGGGCGCTAATACCACCGACAAGGAGCTAGAGGTTCTGTCCTTACGCAATGTCACCTTTGAGGATGCGGGGGAGTACACGTGTCTGGCAGGCAATTCTATCGGGTTTTCCCATCACTCTGCGTGGCTGGTGGTGCTGCCAGGTACTGGCTCCTGCTGCCGCTTGCTCTGCACCTGTCCTCTCGGGGTCGCTGGCTTGGGACACACCAAAGCCTCTGTGGAGAGGCGGGAGACCTTGCGGCTCATGGCCACCCTGCTCCACAGAGCCCTCGCACCAGGCCTTGTGCCTGGTTTGGGAACAAAGTGGATGCAGCCTTGTCTTGGCCCAGAGGGGCCTCTCTCAAGCCCCCTGCTCTCAGCTGGGTCTCCAGTAGCCTATGCAGCGGCTTTGGCATCTCCCTGGGTGGCGGGTGTGGGTGCTGCTGGCTCCGCTGGGTTCCTTTTCTCGTGAGTCTGCCCCTCCTGACTCGGGCGTTTCTGACTGCAGGATCCTTAACGAGTGGGGCATTGAGGCCTCAGCACCCCGACTAGGGGTCTGAGCCTCCTTCCCTACCCCCACTGTGCCTGCGGCTCCAGCCCAGGGCAGCCCGTGGGGTCTCCTGTGACGCTGGGCCAGGCCCCCAACGCCCGTGTCTTTGCAGCTGAGGAGGAGCTGGTGGAGGCTGGTGAGGCCGGCAGCGTGTATGCAGGTGTCCTCAGCTATGGGGTGGGCTTCCTCCTCTTCATCCTGGTGGTGGCCGCCGTGACACTCTGCCGCCTGCGCAGCCCCCCCAAGAAGGGCCTGGGCTCACCCACCGTGCACAAGGTCTCCCGCTTCCCGCTCAAGCGACAGGTAACAGAAAGTAGATACCAGGTTCCGAGCCACCTGTCTGCCTGCCCCGGGCCTCCTGACCCCGCCATGGCCCACTAGTCTGGGTTCCTGAGCTCAGGGACACCCTGTGGTGTCCAAGGCCTAGGGCCTGCTGGGGGACATGTGTTTCTGCAGTGGGCGGGCCAGCCTCTCCCCTGTCTTCGTGGTCACCACGTGGAGCTTAGGGTTACTTTGGAGCACAAAGCGTTTAAAAGCTCTTTAGTTGGACCTGTGTGAAGGTCAGACTCCCTCCCGGGCCCAGCACAGCTATGGCCTTGCCGCCCCGGGATCCCCCCCAGCTTGTGCGGCCCTGTGGCACCAACCTGCCCTGCCGACCCAAGCAGGTGTCCTTGGAGTCCAACTCGTCCATGAACTCCAACACGCCGCTGGTGCGAATTGCCCGGCTGTCCTCGGGGGAGGGCCCCGCGCTGGCCAACGTCTCCGAGCTTGAGCTGCCTGCCGACCCCAAGTGGGAGCTGTCCCGGGCCCGGTCAGTGGTGGCGACGGGATGGTGTGTGCTGGGGTTGGGGGCCCATACAGGGCAGGGTCCATGGCTGGGGAGAGGGGCCACTGCTCAGTGGCCTGATTGGATCTTGACTGGAGTCGGGTGGGAATCAAGGCCGTTGACAGTGGGGTGACTGGATGTGGATGCCATGCTGGGGCCTGGTGGAGGATGCTGGTCTGGGGACAGATACTCCCGAGGTGGGGGTACTGGGTGAGGACCACTGCCCCTCACAAAGTGCTCTGTCTAGAGGACATGGCACAGGACAAGAGGCCACAGGGGCAGTGTCCTTCATCCTCATAAGCAGGCTCATAGGGGCAATTGTGGAGGGCTTCCTGGAGGCGGTGGCACTGGGCCTCAAAGGCTGCCTGGGATGGGGCTGCCAGCTGGCGGGAGTGCTCATTGCCTTTCTACTTCTGCCAGGCTGACCCTGGGCAAGCCTCTCGGGGAGGGCTGCTTCGGCCAGGTAGTCATGGCGGAGGCCATTGGCATTGACAAGGATCGGACCGCCAAGCCCGTCACTGTGGCTGTGAAGATGCTCAAAGGTGAGGGAGGGATGTGGCAAGGGGAGCCTGGGCCGGGGTAGGGGCAGCGCCACCTGATAGACCCTCCCTCCCCGTGCAGACGACGCCACAGACAAGGACCTGTCGGACCTGGTGTCCGAGATGGAGATGATGAAGATGATCGGCAAGCACAAGAACATCATCAACCTACTGGGGGCCTGCACTCAGGGCGGTAGGCACCACGGGCCCGTGGGCCTTGCAGGACAGGAGGGTGGGTGGCCCGCTCTGGGCTGAGGTGTCCCCTCTGAGATGCCTGTGCTCGCAGGGCCCCTGTATGTGCTGGTGGAGTACGCGGCCAAGGGCAACCTGAGGGAATACCTGCGGGCGAGGAGGCCCCCGGGCATGGACTACTCCTTCGACACCTGCAAGCTGCCAGAGGAGCAGCTCACCTTCAAGGACCTGGTGTCCTGCGCCTACCAGGTGGCACGGGGCATGGAGTACCTGGCCTCACAGAAGGTGAGTGGGGCGGGGAGGAGGGTGCGCCCTGCCACCCGTCACAGGCTGCAGCGGGGGTCCCTCGGCCTGCCAGCGCTCTAGGGGGGCGTGGGCCAGGGCGGTCTCTGGAGCAGGGGATCTGGGCAGGGCCATGCAGGGAGCAGGGGAGCAGCTGGCAGGGGTCAGCCTCACCCCGGCCCCGCCCCCCAGTGCATCCACAGGGACCTGGCGGCCCGCAACGTGCTAGTGACCGAGGACAACGTGATGAAGATCGCGGACTTCGGCCTGGCCCGTGACGTGCACAACCTTGACTACTACAAAAAGACCACCAACGTGAGCCCGGCCTATGTAGGGGGGCGGGGGCGAGCTGGGGGGGCCCCTGGCAGCCAATGTGCCCCTTCCTCCTCCCAGGGCCGGCTGCCCGTGAAGTGGATGGCACCCGAGGCCTTATTTGACCGAGTTTACACCCACCAGAGCGACGTGTATGTGGCCCCCAGACCCCAGGTGGGGGAGGGTAGCTGTGTGGGGCACAGGCCATTCCAGGGGAGAGGTTAAGGGAGCTCCTGGGGGAGCTGAGACCCTGACAGGAGCCCCCATGGTCTCTTGGGCCATGTGCCCCCAGCTGGCCCGTCCCCTGTGCGCTCCAGTGGGTCTGTTCTGGGGCAGGCGGGCCCACAGGCGGCAGGGCAGGCTGATGGTGCTGTCCCCCCGCCAACAGCTGGTCCTTTGGGGTCCTGCTCTGGGAGATCTTCACGCTGGGGGGCTCGCCATACCCTGGCATCCCTGTGGAGGAGCTCTTCAAGCTGCTGAAGGAGGGCCACCGCATGGACAAGCCAGCCAACTGCACACACGACCTGTGAGTGATTTCTCTCAGGGCCTGTCCACGGGCGGTTCCCGCTGGGGCCCCGAGCTCACTGCCCCCACTATGCCTCAGCTCCCAGGTAGGGTAAGGGGCCGAAGGCCCCCAAGGCCACTCCTGAGGGAGAGGTGCGGACACTGGCGCAGGATGGGCGTGGGTGGGCACCAGGCCGGGCGCTGGACCTGAGTGTCCCCCGCCCCCAGGTACATGATCATGCGGGAGTGCTGGCATGCGGTGCCCTCCCAGAGGCCCACCTTCAAGCAGCTGGTGGAGGACCTGGACCGCATCCTCACTGTGACGTCCACTGACGTGAGTGCTGGCCCCACCCCCCCTGCTGTGGGATGGGCCCTGGGGGTGCCGCCTGAGCTCGGTGTGGAGGTGGGATGCAGCAGGGCGCATGGCGCTGATGGCTGCCCGCCCACCCGCAGGAGTACCTGGACTTGTCGGTGCCTTTCGAGCAGTACTCGCCAGGCGGCCAGGACAGCCCCAGCTCCAGCTCCTCGGGGGACGACTCTGTGTTTGCCCACGACCTGCTGCCCCCGGTCCCACCCAGCAGCGGGGGCCCGAGGACATGAAGGGCCACTGGCCTGCGGGCTGAGCCCCTCAATGTGCGAGCGGGCCCCTGCCCAACGTGCTGCTGTCGGCGCCGTTGACCACTGGGGCCCGCCGGCCCAGGCCCGAGACCTGGTGCGGATGGACGGGTGGAGAGACAACCTCGGATCTGTGTGTGCTTGTGCTCGTGTGTGTGTGAGAGTCTCGAGGCCCCCGGTGCAGGGGTGCCCACCCTGCTGTACAATGACCTCTTGGCCACCTGTGCCAGCAGCACCAGGGGGCCAAATGTAGAATGTAAGGGGGCTCCTCCCATGAGGCCCCTCAGGGCAGAGCTGGGCCTCCTCCCCAGGCTCTCTTGCCCCGCCCCCACAATGCTACCCCACAGGGTGCACCGGGGGCAGGTTGGGCTCCTGTGTCCAGGGTGGGTTGAGGCCCCTCCCAGTGTCCAAGCTGAGCCTCCGTGCGGCGCTCCTCCCAGCAAGCGGCACTTTGTGTCTGGGGTGTGTTAGCGCACAGCCACCCCCCTCCAGCCCTCCCCATGTCCTGCCTTGCTCCTCGGAGACTGAAATTACGGGTACCTGAAGGCAGGAGCCTTTAACTTCTATCCGAAAGGTTTATTCCAGAAATGAGTGTACATTTATATAAATAGATGCTGTGTATATGATATACACATATATATAAATATCTATATGGAAGAAGAAAGGCTGGTACAACTGAGGGACGGGACCCTGAGGGTGCAGGAGGCAGGGGGCAGGTGCCCTGGTGGGGGAGGCCCCCTGAGGGACTCACTGTTGAGACAAATGCAAAAGCCAGCAGAGGATAGAGGGGCTTTTCCGGCACCACAGTTTTGTTTTAAAAATTGTACCTGGACCTGTACATTTGTAAAGCTATTTATCGGCCCCCAGAACTCCTGTCCCCACCCCCACACACCCCCACGCTCGTAGTGTTTAGCCAGCCGCGTGGCAGAGAGGTTTAAGTTTTAACTTATTAACAGCTGAGAAGGTTTATGCTTCGTCTAGTGGGATCGCTGAGGAAGTGCGCAGTGGCGCTGGGCGTGCCAAGCCCACACCCTGAGGCCAGAACAGCCCCCTTGCACCCTAAAGGGTCGTTAATAGTTTGAGGTGATTCCAGTGAGGATATTTTATTTCCTTTGGCCTTCTTTTGCGGGAGAATTAGATTTCTATGGGATTTTTCTTTAGGAGATTTATTTTTTGGGACTTCAAAGCAAGCTGATATTTTCATACGAGTTCTTCTAATGCCATGTGTTCGGGACAGGGAGGCAGTTTCCAGTGGGGGCCAGCCCTGCATGCAGGTTCAGATGTTATTAGATGTTACAAGTTTATATATATCTATATATATAATTTATTGAGTTTTTACAAGATGTATTTGCTGTAGATTTAACACTTCTTACGCAATGCTTCTACATGTTTATAGCCTGGACTGCTACTTTTCAAAGTGTGGGAGAGAAAGCCGCGAATTCATTTTTGTTCCTTTTTGTACTGTTAACAGCCCCCCCACTGAGTTTGGGTGGTTGTCCTCTGCTCGTCAGCTGGCCGGCCGGGCAGTGGCTCTGGGCGGTCTCTGTTCTCAGGGCCCCCTGACTTGTGGGGGCCAAAGGTGTTGACCCAAACCGGGAGATGCGCTTTCCAAAAAATAAACAGGGACGACTGGTTCAGATCTCTGCTTCATGCTGTCTTGTCTCCTCCCCTTCTGGGATCCCGGGCAGCTCAGTGTCCTCACTGCCTGCCTGGGACAGGTTCTGTCGTCTGCTCCTCCCCAGGGGGAAGGGGTTACCAGCTGTTACTGGAACAGCAGCTGCCAGGTGGCCTCCAGGCTGGGACTGGCTGCCCGGGTCACATGCTCTCCAAGGGTTTCCAGCCCAGGTCTCTGGCTCAGGACGAGTCCTGGGCAAAGCCAGGGTGAGGATGAGGGTGATCTGAGGTGTCCAGCTGCACAGGGGCCCAATGCTGGCAGGGTAGAACCTGAGAGTCACCAGTGGTCTTCATTGCCTGTCTGTGGTCTCCAACGGCAGGGAATGCAGGCGTTGTGGTGTCCATGGGAGGGGCCCATGTGCCATGGGGGTGGGCGGTACAAGGAGGAGTCTGGCTGCCCCTAGCTCATGGACTCCTGGTGGGTTCTGGGGTCCTGTTCAGGCACCTGCAGTTGGTTCTGAGGCCTCCCCCTCCTCAGCTGACCCCCTGGCATTCGCCTACCCAGTCAGCTGGGGAGGGGGAGGTTTCTAGGTGGGTCCCCCCATGGAGCTGCATGTAAACAAGGCCTTGATTCAACCAGACCCAGGGTCTGCACTGCTGGCCACACTGCTGCTGGGTGGCTGCCCTCCCCCTCCCAGGCCTGGCACCCTCCCCTGGGCTCCACCAGTGCTTCCTACACTCTTGTCACTTCTGCAACTTGGCAGATGCTGCATGCTGATCCTTGGCTAGTTGGGGTGCTGACAGAATCCGGTCCCCTCTGCTCCAGAGTTCACAGGCTGAGAGAGTGGGAAAACAGAGCAGGGCACCCACGTGGCAGTGATGAGGAGTAAGTCCGGGAAGGCTTCCTGGAGGAGCAGCAGTGCCCAGACCAAGTGGGGAGACTCGGTGGATTCAGGGACAGGCGGCTATGCGGACTTACAGGTTCTCCCTGGAACCTGGCGCTGCCCGGAGTTGGCTGACCCTCCCCGACTTGCCCCTGCTCTGCGACCTGGTGCCCGTCCCTCTTCTGTACCACCTCACGTCTCACCAAGGTCAGCCAGCCCCTGGGCTGTGTGAACCTTTGGCTTCGAAGAAACTTGCTCCCGTTTTGCTGTGTTTAACTCACCTTCCAGATGAGGAGCGTTTCTGGGGCCTCTTTCGGGAGTGCAGGCGAGGCTGCTACGGTCTTCGTTCCGAATAACCGGTGCAGCCCAATACCTTAACCCCACTCCGCGAAGCTCTCGCGGCACCGCGCCCCAACCCCCGACCCTCAAACACCCTCCAGTCTGCCAGAGACCCTGTGTTTGCGTCCAGGGCGCCGGGGACACGCGGCGACAGTGACGAGGACGGCGAGGGAGGCCAGCGAGGGCCTGGGCCTGGAGGGCGGCAGGCAAGGCCACGGCCCAGCGCGGAGCCCGGCGCGGGGACGAGGAGGCAGGTCCCGGGTCCCGGCGAGGCGAGCGCGGGCGGGGGCGCCCTCTAGCGGCGGCCATGTTGCGTCACCGCCGCGCCCCCCAGCCCCTCTCCGGCGCGGCCCGGCTGGACTCCGGGTGCGTGCGCACTCGGGACTCCGAGGGGGCCTGGCCGCCGGGGGAGGGGCAGGCCCGGGTCGGCAGGTTGGGGCGCCAGACAGGCGGGCATCGGCAGCTCGGTCCTCCTCGCGGCCGCCACCCAGCTCGGCCGCCGAGTCCCGGCCCTGGCGCCTCTGCGTCCCGGGCCAGCGCGCGCGCTCGCGGCTCTCGGACCCAGAGCTGGCGCTTTGGGGGGTCGGGGTCGGCAGCCGGGGAGAGAGAAGGGCCGGGGCTGGAGAGCCCCCCTCCTCTCCCCTCCCCCGCCCGGCCCCGCCTCGCTCGCAGCGGGGCCCTACGGTGTGCCAGTCCCCTCCCTGGGCCGCCTGCTCTGGTGGGGGGACCTGGACAAGCCGGGAAG